GGAGGAAATCACACCCTGCACACTGTGGTCCCACTGTAGCTCTGCTGCAGGCAGAGGAGAGGCAGAGGGCTTCTCCCAAGTATTGCTTTGGACTCCTTTTTAAGCGCTTCAGGTTGAACTCAGTGACAAATTCCCATTCTCTCATCCGGGCAATATTCACAGAACGGCTCAGATTGGAGGGGATCGTAAAGATCATCGAGCTCCAAGCGCCTGCCCTGGGCAAATAATGGCAGGGAAGGGAGGAAAAAACACACCTCTGCTTTCAGAAGCACCCACTGCACCTCCCTGCTCCTGGTGGATTACAGAGGAAACAAGGAAGGAACAAATCCCCTTCAACTGAAGGTACTTCCTGGCCATTTCAATAGGGCAGAATGGTTCCTGCTGGAACCTCCTGGGAGCTGTCTTTTTGAAGGCCAAAGCAGCGGTCAGCATGGCTAATTTTATTCCCAAAGCATGAAATGTGCTGATACACACAGCAGAAGTTGTATCAGTTCTTTGGCGAGCTGAGGATTACCACCCAAGTATGGTTGAAGTGAAATTACACTGAAATCAGTGGAAAGCAAACACCGCCTCATCGCTTTAACGAAGGTGCATTAAAGGCAATTACCAAAAACCACTCTTCAAGGAGTAAATGGGCTGCAATGAGGCTGCCAGCAGCCCAGCAGTGGGGCTCTGCTCCTCCCTCAGCTCCCCTGGGGAGATGCTGTGTACCACAGGGAACCAATCCTCCCTCCTCATCTACAGTGAAAGCAGTGATGTGCCACTGTCACACACTTTCCCAGCAAGGGCACATCGCTGAGATTGGATGAAACCAGTGGGGCTGCAAGTTCCCCTTCTTCTGTTTTCTCTCCTGGCTTCAGGAGAGCCAGCAAACACATTGGGTAAACAGGGTGCGAGGTCAGCAGGAATCCCCTTATCTCTGCACAGGCCTCTGGAATTTGGTGTAATCTCCAAGGCCACGTGGAAAGAAAAAAAAAGCCATTTATAAACTGGTTTCACAGGCACATTTGGTAAGGAATGTGAGCGAGGAAATAGCTGAAATAGTTCACATGCACAACGCCAGCACAGCAGCACCACATCTTCGTGTTTTTGCAGTCACTCTAAACCTATTAACCAAGGAATTCCAGCATGCACAGAGGAGGTCACACAGAGCCAAAGAGCAGTTCTGTAATGAAAACCCTCCTGCTCCACTTCTGTGTGCACAGGGAGCAGAGGGCAGCAGGATGGGAGGAACCAGCCCTGTAATTACATGTCAGTGAACTGAAGCTGCTGCCCTCACTGCCCTGTGGGTGCCGTGCAGGGCACAGAATCACAGAACCATACAAGCATTAAGGTTGGCAAAGACCTCCTGGATCCCCCACCCCAGCCCATCAGCCATGCCCCCAAGTGCCACATCTCCACGGTTCTGTACGCCCCAAGGGACGGTGACCCCATCACTCCCTGGGCAGCTGTGCCACTGCCTTTTGGAGAAGGAATGTTTCTCAGTATCCAACCTGAGCGTCCCCTGAGCCTCCTCATCCCCAGAGTGACCCATCCCACTCCCCACAGCACTGTGCTCCAGACCCCTCACAGCTCCATTGCCCTTCTCCAGACACACTCCAGGACCTCAATGTCTTCCCATAGCAGGGAGGCACAGCACTGAGTACACAGGAACCATCTCTGGGAGCTGAAGGCACCAAGGAGAACAGAGAGGGCAGTGCCCTGGTACATCCCTGCAGCCCAAGCTCAAGCAGACATCTGAGTACAAACCAACACTCGGCAATTTCTCCAGAGGAGTCTTCCTGGCTGGAGATGGCCCTCTAACACACGGCCCCAGCTGCACCACTCTGCCCAAGCACCACTAAATCCACCACTGCTGCTTCCCACCTCCCAACCAAGGGCAATTATCTCTTGCTATTCCTTTGCCTCTGCGACTTTACGAGCTACTCAGCATTGAGATGCAGTTCAGGTTCACAGGAGTACAGGCTGCTGCTTTGCTTTTCCCTAATGATTTATGATGTGCTTAACGCAGCCGTTTGCAGGAACGTGCCGTGGAGCAGCAGCAGGGCTGTGCCCAAAGCCCCCAAACTACTCTCCCAAACCTATAGGACAGATACTCAATGGAGGGCAGATGCCATCTCCAAGCTTCCCGGGGGGCTGAGCCCTGTGTGCCTCCTCCTGAGGCTGCTCGCCCTGCTCTGGTCCTTGGGACGTGCTCCAGAACCTAGAACTGCCCATTTGCTATGTTAGAATCTGTTCAGCCCTTGCTGTAAAGTTCCTAATCTGTATTCCAAGCCAGAAATGAAACTTCACAAAAAAAACCCACAACCAAGTCTCAAAACCAACCAAAAAATACCCAACACAACTGCACACAAATCCAAGGAAAATAAAATACATAACTACAGCACATGTAGCTGTGAGGAAACAAAACCTCTTCCCTGATGATGAATTATACTTTGCTCGCAACAGATGCGGCTCTTTATATTTGTTTTCTGCATAAATCTACATATTAGCCTGAAAGCAACTGTATGTGCTTTGTCTTGCCTTGGTTACATCAGTCACTGCTCATTTTAGCTAATTGCCTTCGAGTGCTGGGCTGGGTGCTCTAAGCACAGCTTAGCTCCTGAAAACAGGCCTGTTATGGAGCTTTTCCAGCACAAAAGTGCTTGGTGCTTCCCCAGGGGCTGTGCCATGTCACCTTGTGCCATGCCATCCCATAGAATCCCATGCTATGCCCAACATGGCCGGAGCTGCCAAGCTCTGTTCCTGCAATGGCACTTATTATAATTGATTGCTGTCGTTTAATGAGTTGTATTACTTGGAAATGCCTGCTGCATCCCAGGCCTTGCTGTGGTTAGTGAAGAAGCACAGAGTGACAGTGCCCATTGCAGCCCCAATGTCCTTGCACAGAGATGTGGGGTAGCAGCTGGTGGGGGTACACTGCAGCCACCCTGAGAAAGAGAAGCTCATGGGGACCCAATGCAATTATGTTATTAAACAGTGAGTGCAGTTTTTCAGCTCTCCATAATCTCATTTAATGCTATTGGTGTCGAGTTAAATTATTTCTAATTGTTCTTACCAAACGCATCTGATGAATTTATGTTTTTCTCTGTAGGCTCGTAACTCTCGGGGAAAATTTATTTGTCTCTCCTCAAGGAGCATTATTTAATATCCATCTGCTGGGAATCAAAGTGACGAAGCAAGTCAACAATTACTGCACTGCTTCCTTAATGGGAATGTGCCCATCCTACACCCTCACTCCAGGGACATGGTGTGTGTGATGGAAGCTCAGGGGTTAGGGTCATGCTGGGCAGACTCCTGCCCGTGGCCAAGAGGATGCAGAAAAATGTTTTCTTCATTAATTGAGAATTTGGAAGATCTGCAGCCGACAGCTCCGACACGCTGAGCAGTGGGTCAAAGGCGTGCTGAACTCAGTGCTGGGGGAGGATGGCAAAAAAATAGAAAGCAAATTGCCATGACCTATTCCTGTAATGAAAAGGTCTATTTCTAATCCATGCACTATTTAAGCAGAGGTATTTCCAGCTAATCTCCAACCATAACCCACTTAGGCAGAGCTGTGTGCATGAAGCAGTGGCTGTGCCCTCAGCACGGTGCAGCAGCACAGACTGACACTGCTGGGTCATGATGGGGAACAGCGAGCTGCTGCTGGGCACAGAGCAATCCCAGGGCTGTCCCAGTAGGTGAGGGGAGCTGAATGCTGGGGTGAACCTGGGCTGCTTAGATGAGAGCTCTGTGTCCCAGTCTCTGCTGCTGCCACCGGGGTCATGCTGTGTCTGATGCAAGACAAGAGGTAATGGCCTCACGTCGCACCAGGAGAGGTTCAGGTTGGATATTAGGAAGAATTTCTTTCCCAACAGAGGGGTAATGCAGTGGCACAGCTGCCCAGGGAGCGCTGGGGGCACCGTGTCCCTGGAGGTGTTCACAGCTGTGAGGATGTGGCACTGAGGGATGTGGGCAGTGGGCATTGTGGTGTTGGGTTGGGGATCTCAAAGGTCTTCTCCAACCTTAATGGTTCTGTGATTCTGCTTCTGCAGGTGCTCCAAGACAACATCTGAACACACCAGTTGTGCCTCCTAAACACCTTCCAGACCAGCGTGCCCAGCACAGGAGCTCCGTGACAGAAGAAGCAATAGATTGGGCTCAGCTCCCGAGAGCTCCTGCTATTTGTTTTCCAGAAGTCCTGCAAGGCACAAACTTCAGCTATTCCGAAGGTGCGAGGTAGGCGGGCTGGGTATTTTTGAACACGCTGCAAGAAAGCCTGGTGTCAACATTTGCATTTTGCCTGCAGTGCTACAAAGCCCGATCCTATGTTACACAGCAGGAAAACCTGAAGCTGACTTCCATGACCCACCCAGACTAGATAAAATGAGGAAAGCACCGAAGGAGGCAGGAGGGGATGGGCTGCCGTGCTGTGCCCTGCTGCTGACCCAGGGGGTTCCCACTGACACTGGAACCAGTGGCACAGAAAGCCAATAATCCTCTTACTGGCCTGGCACTGCTCGTGCTGTGCTCCAATTAGCGGTGGCGGTGGCTCAGCCTCTCTGGGGTTGTTATTAATTAAGGGAGGAAGAGGGATGGAGGAGATTTAGAGCACGTCTGGCTGAGGGAAAGGAGGGCAGAGGGGAAAACGCTTTGCGGGTTTGTGCTGCTCCACTCTCACTCCACTCTCATTCTGTCCCCAGAACGGAGCTCCTCCCCCATTCAGTGTATAAGATGCTACACAAAATACACCCCAAACACTGCTGCTGCTCCATTTGTCATCATTCCATTTCAGCATTCCCAGATGATTTTCACCCTGGGGAAAAGGCAGAATCCCCCACCCCAGGCGGGCACAGCGGGAGCAGCCATCCTCCCCCAGCAAGAGGGCTGAGCGCCTCTGGAAACTCATCTCAAAGCCTCAACACATTGCACAGCCCTCCCAGTTAACAGCAAGGAACCTTAAGTCACGAGAACATAAGTAAGGCATGAGGTGTCAGCTGGGTGGCACGGGGAACAGCTTTGGTGAGCACAAATCTGTACTTCCCTACGCACTGCCAGCTAAAACTGGGCATGCCTCTAAAGGGACGTGGTGCTTAAAAATAGGGTTCTTTGTCCCAAAGGCTTTTAAAAGAGAGCTCAAGGTAGTTGCATGCACTGCACCCCCTAGGAGAAGACGCAGGTTGGGGTTCCACCTGCCCAGCACTACAAAGCTGGGGTGGGATCCCCCTCTGTCGGGCAACACTAATTGCCCTAGCCCTTACCATGCAGCCTCTGTTCTGCCACCCCTTTCCCTGCTTCCACTGACGTACCATGCATGCATGACACAGCACAGTTTTGCAAGACACAGTGTGTGCCACACTTATCTCTGCAGTGCCACAGACATGGCCAGCACTGCTTCAGGGCCACAGGTCACTGCCACACAGCCCAATATCACAGCAATACAGTATCCACTCCTCCTTGCACATGGGGACTGCAGGCAAAAAGCAGAACCTATTGTAATGAGATCTCTCTCCCTGTGAGGCAGTCAGGTGCCCAAAGGCTCTCATTTACACTCAAAAATGACCACCACTTTAGAACCATCCTGGACTGCTTTGCACAATCTCCGCTGCCAGACACACAGATCAAGTCCAAGTCATACTTATCAAGAAACAAAATAAGGTTAAAAATATTGTCTTAGGGTGAAGTAGGATCTCTCTAGAGGCTCCCGTGGCTTCGCCTGAAATACACCCAACGTCACTGCAGGATGTACCCACAGACCTTGCAGGCTGCCGAATTGCATCTGCTACAAAAAGCCCCAGCTCCTGAGCCTGGCTCCAGCCCTGCACGCTGCTGAAGGCACTGGGGCTGTGCTGAGGTCTGAGCTGCGTCAGGACCAGGACTGGAGGAGCACGGAGCACCGTGCAGGGTCTTCACCAGGCAGGGATTTTCTACCTGCACCCTCAGGCATCCATGCTCTGCCTCCCATAACACATTTCTGCACAGAAAGGGAACGAGCCGCCTGAAAGCACCAGATGTGCACCGTACTCACGTTCATCTTCCAGAGCAGCTCTCCTCTTTCAAGCCATTTTGTGAGAAAGCCCAGTCGCTCATCGCCGCCTAAGGCATTGCTGCCTGCGTGCCCTGCAAGGACCCGGGCTCCAGAGCAGCCCTTAATCCATCCAGCACCAAAGGTCCGGGCTCAGCCCTGCAGCTCAGGGATGCCCGGTGCCACCAACTCGCTCTCCTCGGCTCCAGCCCGCGATGGATGGAGGTCCCCAGGCAGTGCCGAGCTCTCCAAAGCCGTCCCTTTTACGTTCTCCGACCTTGCGAGGAAAATCCTGTCTCGTTTGAATTATTCATCATACTTTCTGTTCTGCCAGCTCCAGCACAACGTTCTGAATCATTAATATGTCATGACTTTTTATCTCCTTTTTTTTTTTTTTTTTTTTTTTTGACTTTTATCTTCTCTCCGACACGACTCCCTTCTTTAAAAATAACACAATCACCGGTGTGTTAATTAGCATTCATCTGATTCACCAAATAAAAAGCCGTCTCTGTCCTGATGCACATCCTTCCTTGTGGGAAATACCACTTTAACAGCTTCGGGAACTGGGCTAGCGCTGGCTGGTTCTATCTAAAGCACTGCAAAACATGTTTGGATTTCAGTTTTTGGCAGCATTTCCTAAGCCTGCAAGCCGGTCTGGTGATGGAAAGCAGGGTAGGCTTCCAGGATAATAAAAGAAGAACAAGGTAACGGCGCTGGGAGTGCTGTCAAACAGCTTGTTCTCCTCCTTTTTAAGCAGAGCTAATGGCAGAACACTCCAAGCCAAGGGCAGCAGGGCTGGCTTGGCTCAGTGCTGCACTACTGCAGTGGGGACACAGCTGCTGCCAACACCAGGAGCTGTACCCACAGCATGCATGCGGCCTCACATCTGTCCTGTGGGGCCCGTTGTTTGGGGATGCAACGAACCACCCCCTGGGTCCTCCCTGCCCTGACTTGGCTCTCCTTTATTAATTTCAAGTTGGATCCAACAAGCAGCCCTTCCCACAGCTCCTGGCTGGCAAAGCTGCATTGCCCACCCCATTCTCCAAAGAGCTAAATGACATTTCAGCAGCAGGAAGCTCCTGCCAATAACATCACAGCCCGGCCTCGTCGCTTTCATGAGCTCCTACATTATGCTCTGTGCTGGAGGTGGCTCTTAGAGGAGCCAGGGCTGGGGCTCAGCCTGGCCCCAGTGCCTGCAGTCAGGGCTGGGAGCAGACGTAACCCACCCTGTTCCAAACATGCTCTTCTCTGTACAGATTTCACATACGAACCACACCTGGTTTCATAAATAAACGCAGTGGGAACCTGAACTATTCAGCCCGCTGACCTGAAGTTGGTTCTGAAGTTAATAATTCATTCATGTGAGCTGGGATGGAGGTTTCTAATTCAGCTCATTTCAGAAGTCGAGAGGGGGAAGAAACACGTCACAAAAGTTAACTTGTTCTGGGAAGTCTGAGGCATCCCAGGTAACAGCAGCAGGATGATGGCTTCACCTTGATCAGTGTGGGGTCAGGATGGGTATCAGGAAACATTTCTTCTCCAAAAGAGCAGTGATGCAGTGGCACAGCTGCCGAGGGAAAGCTGGGGTCACCATCCCTGGGGTTGTTCAGAGCTGTGGGGATGCAGCACGCAGGGATATGGGCAGTGGGCATGGAGAGGTCTTTTCCAGTCATCATGGTTGGAAACCATTGGTTGGAAGCAGCCTTCAGCAGCATTGGATCTGGTAATTTAAAACTCGAACAAATATTTCTCAGATTTTGGTGGGACTTCAGAATCATTGAAGTTGGAAGAGACCCTTATCATCCTCAATCCAACCCACCCCACCACATCTGCTGCCCACATCCCTGAGCGCCACACCAAGGCCAGTGCTCTGTGACCAGAGGAAATTCTCAACCTGGTGGTCAAGAGCTGCTTCCTCACTTCCACTGAGTGATGAAAGAGGGATGCAGGAGAAACAAGGGCAGTGCATGCATTTTGGGAAACCTGCCTCTCCCGCTGCTGACCTTCCATCCATTTGGCTGGGAACAGTCAGTGGGGGAGGTAATTAACAGCTCACAGCTCACAACACACCAGAAGTTCAAACCACAAATGCTATGAATCACACAACACTTTGCTGTGTAACCCTTAGTGACAAAACCTTGCTGAGCTCTACATATGGGCTGTGCCCCCGGTGGGGGGCTCGTGCTCTGATTGAGCAGCACCAATGATCTGCAATGGCTGGTGGAATGGTTCCAGCCCTCCCTTCAATTCCACCTGCACTCAGCCAAGGCAGGTGCAGAAGCTGCTGCTTCTTGCAACGCAGTGCCACCCTCGTGCTGCTGGATTTGCATTTGAAGCTGTTATTAACTGCCAGCATAATGAGGAGCTTGTGCAAAACTGGGCAAAGCAGAAGAAAAAGCCAAAGAAAAGCAAGTAACCCAGTATGTGTTCTGGGAAGTGCTGTGCTGGTGGCTCATGTGCATGTCCTGGGCCTGCCAGGGGTACTGGGGGCTGCTCACACCCACCTGGGTGCCCACATCCATCCCCAGCAGTTATAGCCCTTGTGGGAAACAGAAGCCAAATGCAGCCAAGGCCTCACACCATTGCTCAGAGGCTGCTCACTGGAGCAAACCCACATCTTATCTCAATTTTCTTTAATCCAAGGGCTTTGCTAAGTTGACCTGGCACAAATTGATAGCATAGCCAGCTTGCCCTGAAGGGAGCTGCACGCATATTTCATCTCCTCACCTTGAAAAGTGCTGAAATGGCAGCACTGGCACAGCCCAAAAGAGGCAGAGATCCACCTTGTGCTGCCCCAGGTCCCCATTGCTGTGTATGGGCAGCAGCCACTGACCACACCACAGCTCCTGCTAATTAAACCCCACTGTCACTTTTGTTTGCTTGAAGTTTTGCCCTCCCAGCTCACACCGAAGCTGTGTAATTAGCAGCAATCATTACACCGCTCCCTAGAGCTTCTGAAATAAGCAGATTCTTTCAGTAATAACATTGTGATAAGAAACAAATTTGCTCACAAAGCTCAGTTCGGTGTTCCTCTCATCCCATCCTGCCCCACATTGCCCATTGCTGGGTGCTCCCACAGCCCTGCTTCCATCATTCCTAGTTAACTGTCACCGCCTGGTCAGAGAGCAGCTGCTTTTTGAACATGCCCCATAAGGGCCTCCCACACCACAGCTACTGTACCGGTTTGTCACCCATCTCCAATGGGCATCTAGAGGCCTTAAGGAGATCCAAACGCCATGTCCTGCACTGGGGAGGCACCCCACAGGGGAATAAGAGAGCTGGAACATTTCATAGCATCATTCAGGTTGCACTCTGAGAGCACCAAGCCTAACCCCACCTCACCACATCCCTCAGAGCCACATCTCCGCAGTTCTGGAGCACCTCAATGGACGGGGACCCCAGCACCCCAGGGCAGCCTGCACTGCTGGTCAGACAGTGCTGGAGGAGCTCAGCATCAGCAGTCCTTTAAATCAAACTACAGCAGGCTGAAGGGCTGCTGTCACCTCTGAAAGATGGGAGGCGCTCCTCAACCTCTGTGCAAACTGCCTTCCTTGAGGCTACAGCCCAAGAGATCACCATTATTCCCTTCTTTGGGAAGCTATGCACACCTGGGCACCACAAATCAGAGCCTTGATTTTAAGTCCCTTATCAGAAATACAGTTGTTCGGAGCGTCGCTTCCTCCAATGGGTGGCAGCAGCACTGATGGGTGCCCCATCCCCATTGTGGTGGGACAAACAAGGATCTAAACCCTTCTGCAACGTGTTTTTGCACTGCCTGGACACCTGCGGGGATGTGCAGGATAAGAACATTCCACGGGCCAAGAATCAGCACCTAGGTTGAGCTCCCCATGCTTTGGGGCCTTCCAAGTGCTGTGCTGCTGCCTGCAACATGCCTTTAGAGTCACACTTTTTGCTGAAGCAGTAATAAGGCACAATCCCTGGTGCATGTAACCTTGTGCTACCAAGCTCACCTGCCTGATAGCAGGGGAGTGCTGGCAGCATTTGCAGACACAAGATACAAGTGTGTGGGGTTAAGCGTTTCCGGGCCTAGGGAGCTTTCCCTTACAAAGCCTCATTTTATTTCCCCCAGCTATTCTCCAGCTGTTTTCAAAATGTACGTGTCACTTCATTTTCACATCTTCGTGTTTCAAAGCCCAAAGCAACATCTCCTTTGCCAGCTGAAATGGAGCTTTGCATCGAGCCATCAACATCAGCCAGCCAGAATTAACGCCGAGCGCTGCCAGCTAATATTTCCTTCATCAAAAGAGACCATTCGAGAGAGATCCTAATAATTCTTCATCCCCTGCAAAAGCGCTGGGATGTAAAAGCATTAAAGAGCAATTACATGCTACCTGGTATGTAAACTGCTGTAGTTTGAATTTATGAATAAAGTACCCTCACATCCCTGCAGGCATTCAAGGCCAGGCTGGATGTGGCTCTGGGCAGCCTGGGCTGCTGGTTGGCAACCCTGCACACAGCAGGGAGTTGGAACTGGATGAGCGTTGTGCTCCTTTGCAACCCAGGCCATTCTATCTATGACTGATACCTTTCTCCCATGGCTGAAGTGTGCAGATGCTCATCAGGCAGGTGTTGCAAAGCACCTGGGCTTCTGTGCTCAGAATCTCTCCCAGCCCACAGCAGGAGTTGCTAGCGGCTCCTGTCCTGCAAATGTGTGACAGAACAGAAGGGGATGGGAGAGACCTCCTGCAGGCCTCAGAATCACAATCATTACAGTTGGAGAAGCCCCGTGAGGTCACCAAGTGCAACCATCAGCCCACCCCCACCACCTGCGCTGCACTCTGTTTCTTCCTTAGCAAAGCTCTGAGAAGCGGAACCATTTCTTGTGGGTAATGGGTGAGGCTGCTCTGAGGACTAAAACCACTTTCCTGATGGAGCCAAAAGGAAGCTTTTAGAGCTCTGGGCACAGATGCTGAGATGCACTCCTCCAGTCTGGGAAGGTGGGAACCCAGGGGAAGTGTCCCTGTGTGCCCTGTGCACCGATGCATGCAGAACCTGCCAGATGGGCGCCTTGCACAGCCTGCTACCTGCAAGCATCCTCGAGAGAAAAGCACTCCATTAGAAGATATTCGCCCTACATTACATTTTGCCATTGCACTGAAACCTTATGGGGTTCCTTCTGGGAAAAGATACAGGGAAATGTCTGAAAGCGATTAAGAAAAGGTGGGAAAAAATGCTATATGGGGGAGATTTTCCACTTAGAGTGATTAAAATGTACTCCAATCAAATGCAGGAAGAGAGAGGAAAAGGAAGAAAACCACAGAATTTGGCATTCTAGGCCCATCTGCTGCCAAAAATATACAAATATCCTGACCATATTCTGGCTGCAAAGTGTCTGCAGCACAGCCAGCAAGTGGGAATCCCCAGCAAGTAAAGGAGTGAGAGCTGTGCTGAGGGGCCAGCAGGGAAACACGGACTGAAAGGATCTCAAAAAACAG